TTTCTCCTATGAGTCCGACAAGTACTCTTTTTGTCACCAACTTTTCTCTCTAAATACTTCAAGGTAAGTTGTTTACTTATTTATGCTTTTTAGTTTTCTTTCCATTCCAAGTAAAAATTTTACTTGATTTTCTCTTTTACTTACTTAGATGCGTTCAATTGATTATTCTTTGAAAGCAATGACCAAAACAAATATGTTCCAATAGGGTTTGTGTTTTTTGGTTGTCATGCTACTATTACTTTTCTTTTTCTTTTTTTTTTGCTATTGAGATTTATAAGTGTTGTGTTCTTGAATTTGATTAGCGTTGTTCTTTGAAAGGAAATAAAAAAGATGATTATGAGAAACTATAAATATGTATATATTAAATCAATAAAAAAATTTATTTTTATAAGATGTTGAATTTCTTTTTTAAATCTTTTGAATAATTTTCTTTGAATGATAATAGGTACAAATTATAGAGAAAAAAAATTTAATTGGGTCAACCCGTGAGTTGACCCGGGACCTGTGATGGGCAGGTTAGGGTTTGCCTTCATTGACCCGTGACCCGTTTTAACCCAATCCGTTTTGACCCGTTACCCGTTCTAACCCGACCATAACTCGACCCAACCCGCCCGTTTGCCAGGTAATTTTTTTGATTGATTGGGTATAGAAGACCAATGCAAAATGAGAGAGAAAATGGCGATAAATTAAGTTAAACAGGCTTATGTTTGGATATTAACTAATAGCATCCTTGACGACATTCTTAACTTCTACGTGATGCATTGAGTGAAAATCAACAATGAGAAAATGAAGGATAAATTGCATAAATATGAGAATGAATTGAAGAAGGAAAAGTTGAATGTGCTTGAATAATTTATCTAGTGCTTTTAGCATTAGTAGCATTTTCCCTTTTTTTTTCTTAATAAATTAGGTATATTTCTTTGAGGAAAGTGAAAATCAGGATGTCTTGATATTAAAAATATTAAGACGTAAAATCACAACCATTAAATGTGTGGGGTATAGTGTGGACCTTAACTTTATCAAATTCATTATGTGGTTACTATTAGACATCCTATCATTTTTAATGCTAGGATGTCCTAATTTTCCCTTTTCCATATTTCTTTTAATCTTCAAGTATTTTTTCCTTTTTGGACAAGTATGTTATAATGCAACAATGGACCAATCCTACCTTGAATTGTCTAAATTAGTAAGAACCCTAAAAAAAAAAAGGTTATCCAATAATATAACTTAAAATTAGATTGGATGTACTAAAAAAAATGAAGCACTAGAACTAGATTAATCATAAGATTGTAAGTTCCCCTTCTTGTAAATTGGGTTCTTTATCATTTAATTTATCCTAGGAGGCTTTGTGGTTGTGGGTGATAAGTTTTGTAGGAAAAAATTGTGGGATCTCCACAATTAACCAATTCAAGAAGAAACTAGCAATCTTTGAAAAGAGTCATTATTGACAAGTACAATAGGGGATCATGGAGTTGGGAAGATATTATTTTGTCCTAAGGTGGGAAGAGTTGGGAAGAGTCATTATTTTGTCTTTAAATCAAGTGGAGGTTGTTAATACAAAGTGTTTCCTAGATGGCATTAGTTGGATAGTGGGAAAGAGGGATGGAATTAGATTATGAGAAGATACTTGGATAAGTACTAAACCTCTAAAACTCTTCAAAGTTTATTCAACTTATCTACTAAGAAAGTGGAGTGGTAATGGATATGGGTTATTGAGAAAGTAGTTTACAGTGTTGGAATTTTGTTTGGAGAAGAAATCTTTTTGGCAAAGATTTTATGAAGAAAACAATCATAATGACATTTGCAAGGGTGCATAATCTTAAGAAACACCTTAGGCAAATTACAATAGTGCAATGGAACGGATATAGGATATTCTTCCAAGAAAACTTACATCCACTTGGAGGAACGGATTAAAATCATCATAAAAAACAAGAGGAAAAAGCTACGAGTAAGCTTTTTCCCTCTAAGGTGAGTTACTTCAAGCTAAGGGTCTTTCTACACAATCCATGGCATACCTACCAAAAGTGGCATCGCTAAAGTATAGGATTAAATTAAATTTAAATGAAACATTATGTGTATTTTGCAAAGAAGCAAAGGAAAATGTTGAACATGTTTTTTGTTGGCTACAAAAAAATTCAAAGATTATGAATGAAATGGTATAAATAGTGGGGAATTAGAACAACAATTCCAAATACAATTCTTACTTTGCGTGAAAACCAAATGAAGGTATTTATAAACTTGTTAGTGCAAACTCCTAGATGTTTATATTCTTTGTGATATCACGGTCAATTCAATACATAAGAAACTCTATCATTTTCAAGGCTAGTGCTTAGGATGAGGATGTTGCTTTTAAGTTGACTTAGGTGAGCTCTGTACTTGGATTTGTGGCAAGTAAGAAGACCATGTTCTTACTTTTCATGATTGATGCCTATTTCTAACAAATTATTTGAATTAGGAGTATCTTGTATGTTGATTTGCCATGGTTTATTATCTTGTTGATATTTAATCTTTTAGGAAGTGATGCATGTTGTTAGGTGCGATTACATATTGAGTTATGTTTATTTATGATTTGTTATTTTCTTTTATAATTTTTCTTTGTGGTTGATGACTTATTCTTTAGAGGTTGATTAAAATTTGAAAAAATTAATGAGTATAAAACTAGTTAATCAAGGTGTGATTTTTATACATTCGTATATTGACATGTACTAAATTGCCAACTAGACAACTTAGAAATGACTCTTATCTAAATTGTGTATCCCATATCAAAGACTAGTGTGCTAAGCTAATGCCTTACATTAATATACTTAGATTCATCTTATAACTAAGAACAATAAAAAATAAAAATTCTAATCCAAGCCAAAACCTAAGAATCATCAACTATCACATCACTCCCCTTGGTTCCCCTCAATATTCCTAACTTTGCAACCTGAAGTGGGGGAGAAAATTTACCAAGAAAAAAAGTCAATAAAAACATAATATAATTCTCTTTATGAGATATGTATCTTGAGTAAATTTATTTTCAATTGCAAAAAAAAAAAAAAATTTAAAATGAGTTCTCCCATTGAAATCAACGAATAATCAATACATCATAGATCATACTAAATCATGTAAAAAAAATAACAATTTGAGTCTCTTCCATAATATATGACTACCATATGAATTGTAGTTCACCCCATTATAATAATATCATACTATAACCAGTAATAGACCCCTAAAAATGAAACTGTTAGATTTTGTGTGATAATAAAAAGATTAACTAGTGTATTTTGGTTTGTGCTTGTGTTTAGATAAGTATAAATATGTTATGTTACAACTTATGAACATACTACATAGTTAAACTTTGTTTTTGTGATATAAGATATTAATTAGTATGTTGGATTTTGTGTATGATTTACTAAGATTATATTTCAATGGATGGATTTTATATATTTATATAAGCATTGCAAGAGACTTTGTCTATTAGTTAAACTTTGTTTGTATGTATTTTGAGTATTTGTGTAAACATTGTAGAAAATGTTGAGTCATGGGTTTTAAGGATAAATAATTATATAAAAGATAAATTTTAAGGAACTAAAATTTAGAACTAATGACATGGCATCAACCACATCATTTAAAATATTAAAAGGTAAATTTTATATTATTTAATAATTTGCTCTTTTTACTTTATTTGGACTGATGAGTATGCATTAGCTTATTAAATAATATACCTTATGCCACATTATTGATCTCAAATTTTGTCCTTTGTCTCACTACCCTTTGGGGACTTAGTGCCAAGAATTTGGAAACCAAAATTAACTTCCCAAAATTTGAAAATGAATGTTGAATTAGATAAAATGTCTTAAATATTGTAGAAATTTTTATGATAAAAGTGACAAAATATCATTAACATTTTATTTTAGTTCATAAAACATTCTATAGCACATTCAATACACCTAATATCATATATTTCTAAGTACAAACAAACCAATAATTAATGCTATGACAATAAGAAAAGGCTAAGCAAATAAGTTGGCTAATAATGACTACTTTAGAGCTTCTCACTATGCATTCTTTAACATTTTTCTACAAAAGCCTCATTTTTCTATCCATTAATCCACTTTGCATTTTTAGCTCATCATTTTCCTACAATAAATTTACATTTTCCTTCATCAAATGTTAATCTTCCTACATCAATTTTCCCTTTTCCAACTTCAGGTCACCATTTTCCTTCTGAATGTTTTCTTTCTCCTCCACATATCTAGATTCCTTATCTTTAAAAATTAGCAGCAATTCCAAAGCTCTTCTCTTGATTCTTTCCTCACAATTAAGAAATGAAGATATGGGCATTGACCCTAATACAATGCAGTGTTAAATCAAATAAAAACAAACCAAAATTATGAACAAACAAACAAAAATTAGCTACCATCTTCTTAGAATAACAATGAAACCTCATTCCCATGTTTTGGTAAGTGAATGAGGTTCAAACTACAATAGGCAACCCACAATTGCATTTGTGCTCTATAGATCTTATTGATTCCACACTTTGTGAAGAACTACCCTCCATTAATCTTCATTGGGGATTTTGTTTGAGGAAGAGAAGCAAAACAAAATGGATTCTAAATTCTAGGGTTTCATAGGAAATAAAATTGTAGAAAAGGGAAGAGAATTGAAGTGTTTGAGGAATTGAAGTGGAAACAATCAAAAGGAACATAAATATTTATGTAGATCCCACTAAAAGTGAATGCTAAAAAGGGTAGAAACCCCATGCTCAAGTGAAAAAAAAAAAGCCACGTGGCAAAAGATGGTTCACATTATTAGAACTTTAAAAAAGGATTGATTTTGTGGTAACTTAATGTGCCCATTGGCACTTCCATTGACATAAGGAAATTAAGGTTTAAGGACAATTTTAATACTTTTTTAAGTTTAGAAACAAATTTAGCACAAATTTATAAGTTAAAGGACAAAATTGATATTTTCAACCAAAATTATAAAAGGAATCCCTTTCATCATTTTCCTTCTCCACATAATCTCTTTTTGAACAGGGAATTCAAATTGCCGGCTCCAAACCATAGCGACGCCGGACCAAAACATCACCCTAACACCAAACTTCTGATCGAGAAACAGCACGGCAGTGTCGGGTCTGGTTGCCAAATGTCGATGGGCAGTGACACGACTTGGGTCGGAAAGAAACCTTTGAGACGTATCGGAGGAATGTCCGATGCTCTCTCCATTGCCGCCGATCTCGGTTTTTCCGTTCCTCCTCCTCCTTCCCAGGTTCATCTCTAATACACTTCCAGTTAGGTTGTATGCTTTGATTCCTTTTTATGATCGTTGGATTTTCCCCTTTTACCCATAATTCGTTGTTAGGCATTTATATATATATATATATATATATTGATCATTTTCCTTATTTTGCTCAGTTGGGTTTATGTTGAAGTGCTCCAATTGTATAGTTTTCCAGGTAGATTATGTCCAGCTTATGCTCTTATAAGTTTTGTTTCAATTGAAGTTGCTTGATGATTCTTAGTTATAAAATTTCTTGGGAGTAGATTACGCGTTGAGTTTGTTCAAATCGATCGCTTGTTTGGAGCTCAGATCAAAGCTATTCCTTTTTCTTCTTTTAATCTGAATTGTTTATTGTCAAGAGATTTCCAAGGGAATTATCAGTAAGAAGGCACCTTTTTCAAAAAAGAGAAGTTAGTGAGTCAATAAATATTTTGTTTATGTCTGAAAATGGAAGAGAGTTTACATTCTTGATTTAATCAAGTTTTAAGAAACAAAAAATTAACTAAAAGACTGCCCAAATGGATATTCAATTGTATTTTTGCAGTTTTTTGTGGAAGATTACTTATTTAAGGACTTCATTGTTTCTTTATGTGAGTTCAATAAACTTAAGCCGAAATCTTGCTCATTTGTTTGTGTAAATTTGATGGTTACCTTATACTGGAGAGCCATATTTTCTGTACTTCTATCTACAGACCTTGAGTTATTAGATCCGTAGAATATAACATTTTCCTTAAAGTTGTCCTTTGGTTGTTTTATTATATTTATGAAAATGTCAAACTTTCCAATGCTTCATTTTTCCAAATGTCTCTCAGTTTAGTTACCATGCCAGATCTTCAACTTTCGTTAGAGTTTTTCTCTTCTTTTTCTTAGGTCTTTTCTTTTTTTTTTTTTAATGGTCAAAAGAAGTTTTCCTTAGAACCTATCAGTTTTTGATATTTATATTCAACTGAATTAATGTGTTTTCTTCTTAGGAAGAACTCCAAAATTTATCTACTGGGGAAAAGGGTGATGACTTAATCAAGGTCTTACGAGAACTAACCACTGTTCAGAGAAAAATAGCAGATTTGCAAGTGGAACTTCAAGGTCGAAAGGTAAACTATCAGAATTTCACCACAATTATGCAGAAAGACTACAATTTGGAACTTTTGATCAGTGTGGGGTTTTCAATTAACCTGAAAAAAATGATAATCAAAACCAAAATTTTCTTTCCGGTTCTTTAAAAGGTTGTTATGTTTGGTTATTTGAAAAATAATCAGGAACTCAGTTCATGTTTGTGCTTGTAAGAAATCCAAAAAAAAAATAAAAAAAAAATAAAAAAAAAATAAAAAAAAAACTGAACTTAATCAAATATGTTGAATTATTAAATAGGTTTCTGATGTGCTTAAATAATGTTGTGGAAAATTATTAATTTATATATTGAATATCGCCATTAGGTTTCTGAACTTAATCAAAACCATTAGAACCAACTGACCTGAGCACATCCCTAGGTTTGTATAGTTGCTTCATAACTAATTTTTGTTCTTGTGTTTCCAGGGCTATTTGCTTAACTGACTTGTCTGCGACTTTTTTGACATTTTAGGATGATAAAAATGTGGCTCACTTGACACATGTGAGTGAAATGGAAAAGAAGTGTGAGACATTGGCTAGGATCACTACTATTTTGAAAGATGTCATTCAGAATAAGGTAATTAATCTTGTTATAATTCTGTACCTACCATGTTCTTGATGTGAACATGATAATGTTCTGTATGCCTTTTGCTGGAACTTTTTGGATTATTTTTATATGTGAAAAAATATTCACAATTTACCAAAAAGAAGACACATGTACACTACTGAGATGTGTAGGGCTAGTTCTTGTTCAAATCTATAACTAATTTTGGCAATAATTCTTGTTTCCCTTTTTCAAATAGGACTAGGACTGGGGACATGGTAGAAGTAGATTGACTCCTTAGTTTAATTATTGTACTTATGCCATGAGGTACTGCTAAAGAATAAAAATTGAATTCCTTAATTACATGGTACATTTGAACATCACCATGTTACCATAACATGTTGGGATTTGGGACTTGTGTCTATAGTTGGTTTTGTATCATTACCTGTAAACCCTCTTCTTTTTTCCTTTTTGCCAATAAAATGTAAGGAAGCATTATCCTTTGCACACTAAGGTGGTGGCTGCAGAAGCGGTTTTATCTTGTTAGATTATCCTATGTTCCTTTCTAATAATCTTTATTTATTAATATTTGTAGGACCGCATTATAGCTCGACTCCAACAACCGTATTCATTGGATTGCATTCCTGTGGAAGCAGAGTATCAGGTTTGTCATCTTTTTCATCCATGCAAAGTGTACTTGTTGAGCAAAGTCATGTATAAAGATCTTTGGGATGATTTTTTCTTTAGTTGACCGGTTAATATTTAGAACATTTTTTAGCTTTCAAGCAGTGTTGTTAAATATGCACCTAGCGTCTAGGTGGCAGGCCACTGCCTCACCCAGCCATTAGGAAGTGGACTTGGGTGTTTGGCTCTCCAAGAGTGCCTAGGCCCACCGTAGCCAAGAGTACCTACGCACACAATTCATTTTTTCCTTTTTTTTTTTTTTTTTGCATTTTTTTTTAAATAAAAATGCCTAGATGCACCTTGGCACTAGGTGGTAGGGTAACACCTCTCCCACCACCAAGCACTTTTGCAACACTTCTTTCAAGCATATGACTAACTGAAGAAAATAAGAGGTTTGTAGTCTGTTATCAGTTGATTGTTTAATAAAATGAGGATGGTTTTTAGGCCATAATTCATACATAACTGGGAAAGTTGAATGCCTTTGAAGATGTAATAATGAATTTTTATTTCATGGTTCCTATTTTTTACATTCAGCACATGATTGTTATTTATCTTCTTGCACCTCTTGCCTAGTAGTTCCATTTTAAGTGTAAATCTAAATTTACTTTAAATTTCAATATATTTATTTATAAAGACATAAGTTGCAACAGGGAATGTTGATCCATTGATGCAGGGAAGGTAGGGGTAGAACAAACAGAAACTAAGAGCTCGGAAAATTAAAGATGGAATCAAGAAAACTTAGGTTTTCAACCTCAAGTTTATTCTCAAACTAAAATATCATAACAAAACCTGATTTAGAGATCTAAAGATAACTATATATACTAACAATAGCTAAGAATCCTAATTCAATTCTAATTTGAACTTTTAATAAGCATTGAATTTCTAATAGGCTACTAATTCTAATCCTAATAAAAATGACTTTCCTAAAATTACAACTTAGATTTCAAATAAAACTCAAACTTAATGCAAAACAAACAGCCCTAAAACTAATCATTAAAAAGAGCTCTATGCTCCTGCATCATCCATCCAATTGTATAACATGACCATATCCATTATTGCACAATCCAGGCACAATTTTTATTATTCATCTCAAAGCTGAATAACCCTAGTCCAACCTAAGCTTGTATAAAAATCCTAAAACCCTAATTAGATTCCTAAGAAGAATCTTTATTTAAAGATGCTGAATCCTATATAAATATATATTATGAAACCTACTAGATTATATCATATCACAAATTAATTCCAAAATATTTGTAATTCTAATAGAATTGTAGTTAATATATATTCTTTGCTTATCTACGTTAGTCTCCCCACTTGATGAAACTCGACCTCGAGTTTTGAAGTTTTGAAGCTGTAAAAATCTCAAGATAACAAAATAAACCAGCTGCTGCAACACCTGTAACTTAACCCTTCTTTAAAGCCTATCAAAGTAATTTTCAAAGAAGTTGGTTGGGTATCAAATTGGGCCAAGAAAACAAAATCAAGGGAAGGAATTCATTGGCATCCAAGTTCTTTTCAGAACTTGTCATCCACTTTTGATCTTGAATCTCTTCAAGTACCATTTCACCACCCATTTCTGTTTCTTGAACTTATTCATATATCTCTTTATGATCCAAGTTCATTTCTTGAACTTCTTTGGCCACTTTTTCAACCATTAAACTCTGTACAACATCCTAGTTTGTATTTTCAATGTTCTGGACAATAAAACCTTTGACCTCAACAATCATGGATGTGTTCTCTATCTCTGCCTCGGAAATTTCTGGAGTTGATGACTTGTTTTCTTGAATAGCATTTTTATTTTCAACTTGTTTTAAATGATATTGTTTTTGTAATGTTTGCTTTGAAATAGCTTTATCTGATCTGCATATTCTTCTTTCCATGCTACAAGTTTCTTATTGTTGTCATATATTTTTTCAAAGAGTTTCATTCAAGAAAAAAAAAAGAAAGAGGGCAAGACCTTGATCTTAAATGAAGGATGTAATTGAAAAACAAACAGTAGCCTTGTGAACATTATTCTTTCCAACCCATCAATCCTCCTGCCCAACTCTTCAATCAAGTTCCCTCTAAGCCTTTGAAGAAATCAAATAATCTTGCAAATGGCTGCTCATGTATCAAGGAAGAAAGAATATAAAGTCCACCATGTAAATCACATGAATGAAGTATATCATCATAGTACCTCAACTTCTTGAAATATTTATTTCCACATCGTTAATAAACCTTTCTAACTTTCAATTAAAGGGTTTTAAGGGTGTAATTAATACACCTTTTTATAATTAATTCTCATTGAAAGTGTAAATGTTAATTTCAGTTTAATCAATTAACCAATTAAAACCAACCACGTGTCAATGAATATGGTCATAATTATAGTGGAATCCTAGGTAATATGGATATATCCTTATCTTCATCAGTCATGTTATAAATTATTGAAGTATGAGATAATTCTAGCAAAGATCTGAATAGACTGGTATGGTAATTAACATTTAGCGTACATTTTGGTACTAATTTTGATTTTTTTTTTTTTTTGGCTCCCAAAACAAGACTAATCTTGATATCCAATTTGGTTTCTTATGTTCCCTGCCAAGAATATACTCAAAAAAAGTAGCACTGCTGAGCTTTATGAGTTTTTCTTATGTATTTTGAAAAGAATAGAAATGAAGTAAGGGTAGTTTTAATGGAACCAAAAAAAAAACCCCTTCTCTTGTTGCCATGGTCTTTTTAGTCATTTCATAATTCATATGGTCATCTGCTGCTGATTGTAATATTGCAGTCTTAAGGACACTATACCATTTCTATTTTAGTTTCTTATGTCAGAAAATTATACAAACTGAAGTTTGTATCCCCATTTGAGCATTGCCAATTATATAAATTGTAAATCAAGGTGTTACCATCTTGAAAACTTTAATTCAAAGTACAGCAGAATCAAAAAATAACTTTTGTGAGCCTAAGTATTTTTCTTATATAAATATAAATTCTGTTCCTTGTCTTCAATATATAAGCAAGACAATATCTGCGATGGAAACATGTAGCTTTCCAAGTTTTCTCTAAGTTTTTAATTACTAAATGGAGGATCACATCTAAATATTATTATTTGCATGATCTGTTTGCTATGCATCCAACACAGATATATCCAACTAAAGTGTGAAGTGATGGATAAAAGCTAAAGTGTGAACTGTGAAGTGAAGTAACATGGATAGACTGCACAAAATAAAGATGGAATTGTGCTTGATGGTTGATGGCTGATTTGTTTTTTCTTTGTTGTGATTTTTCGTAGTAAAGTTCAGTGTTGATTTGTAGGTCAAAGTTTTGTTGCTTAATGACAGCCTGTAATTTGATTTGTGCAGAAACAATTTTCTGAACTGCTGATGAAGGCTGCTAGTGATTATGGTGCCTTGACAGCATCTGTTGCTGATTTCCAATGGAGCCAGAACTTCAAGGAATCTCCTTCAGTTTGGGGGGTATGCATAAGACATTTTTTATTTATTTTCTTGTTATGTACAAGGGTGTGATATTTGGCTTAACTGGCACACAGATGCACAGAGATCCATTTAAATATATGTTTATTTTTTTAGTAAATTGGTATTGGATGAATTCACCTCTTGTGAGAATACTGCATGCAGTTGATACTAATATGCCTCTGATAGCCTATGAAATACCAGTTATTGTTTCGACTGTTTTCTTTCCTCAAAGGAGTAGTCACCAAATGGTATAATGAAGTATTTAGTGATCTTCTCTTTTCTGGAAATTTATACTCAAGCGCCCCATTCAGTAAATTCTGTCTTTGGGTTGGACCCAAAGACATTAAGTAAATTTTTTTATGTTCTCATCTCTTCTGTTGTAATATCACATTCGATGGTTTTTCCTGAAATCTCAAGTGTTTTACCTTAAACCAAAAAGGGAAAGAAAACTTGTTTACTCTGCTAGAAATATATTCCATGAAACTTGTTTTTATAATTCTTTCAATCTTGTTAGTTTAAAATTTCAGCATATGCTGGAGGTTCTTGCAGAGTATGTAATGTTTAACAACAACGCTTTGCTGCTTGATGTGTTGTTGTCATGTTTTACTGATGCAGGAGATGCTTCGTCCAATTCCTGTAGCTTTAGCATCATGCACCCGGTTCTTTGAAGCCATGTCTGCCATGAGAGAATCATTTGCTACACTTCAAAATCTGAGGGTAGGTCATTCTGCGTCCTCCCCACCGACAACACCAGCCAAGAACCCCTCTCAAAGAGTACCAGGGGAATCAGATTGTATGACACCACCTCCTTGGAGGAGTGAACCAAGCTTCGATGACTTGGCTATCAAAAGTATTAGAAAGCAAGAAATTGAGCAACAAGAAGCAGAGGACGAAAATAGTGAAGTGGGTGACTCAAACCCGATTGATGGAACAAGCCATAGGAGACTGTCTTGGCCTCCCTCAGTTAAGAAGAGCATTATCTAGTTTGTGTTGTATATTACTTAGTTTTCTTTGATTGCACTGTGATATTTTTTTGGCTGCAGTCTGTATGAGCTTCCACTGGCAGGAGTTTACCCCACAAAAATGGGTGGAATGTATTAATTTGCTGTAATGTTTCATTGGATTGAAAGAGAAGGCTTTGTTTGAACCATTAGACGCTTTAGTAGCTGAGTTCTCTTTACATTTGTCTTTTTTGGAATGGCAGCATCATTTGAAGGTTTTGTTGGTCCGATGAGTTTCCTTTTTCTTTTTCTTTTTTTTTTTCTTCGTTTGTGACTTGTGAGGATGGGCTATGGGAATTATTGAGGTCACTCATTTTTTGTGACCATGATGATTTGTAGTTTGGCAGAAACTTATAATTTTCATATGCATTTCCTACCAGTTAGTTTTAAGATAGGTAGTAAATTACAAAAAAGTTCGCCCAGGTGTAGGGTTTTTGCGTAAGAAGTACAAGCTTCTACATATCCAAGTGAAGACTCAAAATAAGCACACCGTAACACACAAACACACCGTTGTGTCGTGTGTACTCCCTCTGACCAGTTTAATCTTGCTTACAAGGAGCAAGTATTGGTGTAGGATCGAGCTTCTTTTTTCCTTTCTACTCCTTCGCTCATCCCATCTTAATGTTATACAACTTGAGTGAGTGTAGGATTTTTTACTTTTATTTTTAAAAAAATTAAGTAGACCTCTTAAAACATTGGCTTGGCTGAATGTACCTGCAACTTAATTCTTTAAGTTGGAGAATATATACGACATAAATGAATGAGTCTGCAGGTACAAACGCATTAGTCGTGGTAATTTTGTGCAACGATGTGAAATGCGAAAAGATTAAAGATGGTAGGTCTATAATGTTGGGTTCAGAATATGCTGGACTTCCTAACTTGTAAGTACTTTTTAAAAACTTATAGTCTAAAATGTAATTTTACCTGCAATTAAAGGAATTTGTGTGATTAACCTTGGAAAGAAGTTTTCATTAAAGAAAAGAAGACAGTTAGGTAAGGAACACCATCTCGCTTAGAGTACAACAAAAGGCAGCTAAACTAAAGACGACCGTGCCGCGCCGCGCCGCACCTACGCACTTTCTTATTCAATTTTAACATAGCCATATAGGCTACGAATATTTGCATCTCTCGAGGAAGGATGAAAGCTTATGTATAAAATTGTGCAAGTGAAAAAAGAGCATCTCTAGCCCTGCAATGGGCTATGGTTATCGCCTAACTAGAACTTGTTAAAATTACATAATTTTGTTAAATTTTTTTTTAAATATTAATTTTATTTTATTTAATTAATATAAACCATTGATATTTATTAATTAATATATTAAAATTAATTTATAGATTAATATTTTCAAATATCATAATTAGTTACTTGCCAAAAAAAATCATAGTTAATTTTTTATAATATAAACAAATAATATATTAATCAAATTAAATATAAATACTCTAATTTATGCAAACATTACCACACTTTAGGGACATAAACAAAACTAATAACATAAAAAGAAAGTTATTATGAGCATTTGAAGTTATTGGACATTCTTAATTGCAATGCCAACTACGCGGGGGAGAGTAGGTAGTTCGGCAAACAATAATCCCCACTTATTAAATGTTATACCAAAGAGATGTAGTAGTCTAAAGGAGAGTTCAGAGTCTCCTCTATGAATCACTGAAGCCATGCCCAAATTCATCCAAGAGAGAGTTCAGATCTTCTTCAACCTCCTAACCATGCCACCAAAAACCAAAGTAACTGCTACAATTAATGTAAGCGTTGCTAGCCTCACAACTGTGTTGTTATCCTCTTCAAACCAAGGTGAAACCTAATGAAAAACATTGCAAGCCTAGGCAAGGACCCCATAAAAAGGGAGACAAAAGAATCCTTACAAAGGAGAGAGAAACTTTCACCTTTTCTTCTTAACCGTCGAGGGAGAGTGAGTCAAGCATAGGAGGAGGTATAATATTGGCTAGGCATTTATATTTTCATCGATGATTAAAGATGATGGACTTTCAATATGGGACAACTCTTTCCTTAATCCTTCTTTACCTTGTTGAAAATAGAATAACGGTTAATTATTCACACTATCAACTATATAATTATAGTTATTTTGTTTTTATTTATTTATCTATTTTAACTTTTGTCCGTACAAACTTTAAATAACACTTCAATATAACATATAAATAATAATTTTAGATTTAAATATAATAAAAATTATTTCATATATTATGAATTAATTTTAAATTAGATGCTCATATTTTATTTTAGTAACTATTGTTGTTACATCATTATAGTTCGTTATAATAACTTTAACTACTGTAGTGTGTGTTTGCCTGAGAGCCTCCTATGAGTCGCAAAGGATTTGCCTGACCTCGTTGAATCATCCCATTAAGTGGACCTAATGAGAATCAACAAACTTAAACTTACGCTAATTAATGGTTTACCTTTCTCTTGTTTTTTCTGAATTGCGTAATATGTTTAATTGTTTTAATATATACTAAGTACACTTAGTATTGTACTTTATATAAAAAATGATTTACCTTCAATAATATCATTGTAATAAAAAATTAAATATTGGGTCTATAGAAAAATGAAAAAAGTACGTTAGAACAAATGTAGGGGAATCTATTAAGGTGTGTTCAAGAAAAAAGAAGAATCATAAGAGAAAGGTGTAGATATTTAGCTTCTTTACGAAAGACTAAACCACAAAAAGGGAAATTCTTCACTCACACATGGAATATGTTTAATTTTTTGGCAAAAGGTGCAAATTTAATTTCAAAATTATTGTATTAAAGCAAATTCGTATTCACAAGAATATTGACAATTTGAGATCTCAAACTTTCATTTTCAATAAATCAACTTAAATTTAATAGTTATTATTAATTTTTCATTAGATTTTAAAAATAATTGTTTAATGAATTTCAACAAAAACGATTAAATTTTAAATGATTTTTAAAAAATAAAAATTTGAGGTGAAAAATTATATTAATATTTTTTGGATAATAATTTACTTTAACTTGACAATTTTAAGCGCCAATTTGTACATTTGGGCAAAGAATAGGTCATGTTTGTTCTTCATTCCATTGGATCTCTAGGGTTTGAATACAACCTAAAAGTTTTCCTCTAAGTCCCTAGTCTTTAAGACCTCAAATCGTGATGTGGCCCTCCAATTTTCGTCTAAAAATTAAAAGATTTGAGGCTAGGGTTAACCTATTACCCGTGAGCGCTCCGCCTCACTGGAAAATGCCCATTTTGCAACGAGGGAATTTCTGGTCTTCGTTTTAGGGACATCAAGATATGGATGCAATTAATATTTTTAAAAAAGGTTTGAGAAACAAAGTCAAAATTTTAGTGATTTGAACAATTTTTATGGTAGTAATGAATACATCCTCCTACCGTAACCATAACCACTCCAACTAAGACAGAGCAAAATAACTTGAAATCATTTTCTTCTCATATTACTAACAAAAATTTAGTTAAATTAATATTCATTAATTTAAAGTTTTTAATTAAAAATCAATATCACTAATTCAGATTTTTATATTATAAGCAATTAATATCTCTTCAATGTATAAAAAAAAAAAATAATTTCTCCGCACATTAATGGTTAATGCAAATCACTTTCCATCTTCATAAATTGTAAAAATAAAAATAAAATAAAACCGAAAACACTGCAAATGTCAATCCCCTTTCGTCATTCCCATCTCTAGATGGACCCGGCAAACCGGCGGAGGTACAGCAAAGCATGATCCAACCAAACTGCATGTCTGCGTTTGTGATGTATTGCATTTGCAATTTTGCATGGCTATTCATAATTTAATATATAGTTTTATAATGGATTCTTTTACTTCAAAAAATAATAATACGTAATGAATGTTTAAATTAAAAAAAATGCATCATTCTCAACAAATAAAAAAAATTAGAATTTTAACTTAATTATTGTAATTTTATTTAATTAAAATTTAATTTAAAATATAAAAATTTAATTTATATGTTAATATTTTGATTTAAAAATTAATTATACATTTAATAAAATTAATTTCTAAATTCATACATTAACATTTAATAAAAATAATTTTTTATATTTTAAATTAAATTTTTATTTTCAAATATGAGAGTCATTATAAGTTCAATTTTTAATTTTTTAAAATTAAAATTGATATATATTATTTTAAAAAAAAATATTATGTAATATAA